TCCTGATGAAATCTTATCTTTCTGCTCATTGTATAAAAGCCTGCCTTTTTTTTTTTTTAAAGGAGCTTTTTCCTTTTTGACAGCTTTCCAGCTTTGATTCTGTTTGGATGGTGGACAGTACAGATCTTGGGATTCCTGTGGCAGTTCCCAGACAGTGTCCTTGTGTGAATATTTATCAGTTAACTGCTATCTGTAAGCAGCTTGTCTGGGAAACCTTGTTATAATGGCATGGGTAAGAATGAAGGCTGACTCATGTTAAAGGGACAACTGATAGCATGGTCCTTCCCTTTTAGCTGTGATGGCCCTTGACATACTTGTAACACAACCTCTTCCTCTTCCCCTCCCCTCACAAAAAGCAGTTGTGAATTGGAGGGGGGGAAGCAGAAGGTTAAAGCCTTCTTTGTTATAAATAGCTACTCAATATAAGTTCAGCACATATTCTGGCAATCAGCTGGGAAAAATTGAAGTAATCCACCCGTCTCATGACTTTAGGATTTATTAGGTCAGGAGAATGCACACTTCTGTTCCAGAAGTAACCCTGGATCAGAGTAACGAGCAATCTTGTTTTAAGACTGGTATAGATCTATCTTCATTTGCTAAAGGTAAGGCTCTTCTCATTTTGTATTTAGAAGTTGTCCAGAAACATTCATGGATAGATGAGCACTCAGTTATGCTAAATTGAAAGGAATTGTTCTCTTGAATGCTAAACGATCTTGATGGTTTAGAGGGCTTAGGTGGGGTTTCTCTATTTTTTTTAAAAAAGGTCCTTTTTAGAATTCTGCCAATTGGAAAAAAAAAAAAGTTGCCTTCTGCATATTGTTTATTGCACAAATAAAGATTTTGCAAAAATTCTTTATCTGTAATATTCCATGATATTGGGATCTGTACTGAATAGCAAATGAATATTCTTTCTTGTCTGTCTTGCAACGAGGTGCTCCTAAGTCTAAATCACTTGAGTTTGGAGTCAACAATTTCATTCAAAATGTGATGACATCATGGAATTTTTTTTTCCTTTTGCAACTGACGACTTCTTGTCATTTCACTGAGAATGCAGTTGCATCTAAAATGCCAAGGCTTTAACTTATCCATAAAAGAATGAAAAATCATCCAAGGCATTTATAGATATGATTGCCTTTTGTTTCTGTCCAATGCAGTTGAGCTTCTAAAATATGGTGAAGGACAAGACAGACAGACAAAAACTTTATTTCAGTCACTGACCAATAAAAATGCATTCTATACAACAAACAGAATAAAATGATCCCCTAACATCAATAACTGTTAGCAACCATTTGTGGGTGAAGCTTACACATCATGTAGCAGAATTTTGCTACATTTAGAGGAATATGTTTATCTTGGTTGTTTAACAGATAATGCAAATAAAAATTATCAGAGTGTCCTGGAAATTTAAATAAAAGGGGGCTAATCAACTGGTGGCAAATATCTCTGTAGAAGTGACAATATAGAAGAACATGGGATATGGTTTCTATGGCACCCTTGTCACAGGGGCAATATTGGGTTTCACATGGGATTTTCCTATACTTCCCTTTCAAAACAGCTGTGGGGAGAACACTAAATCGGGCTAGAGATAATTTGGGGATTTAGCACGATGTAAATATGAAGCTGGTTTGAGTGCTAAGAATTGGTTATTAACAATTATGAGAAAATGCAACAGTTTCTGTGCAGCCTTCTATACCTAAGATCCTTTGTCTTAACATTGATCTAGCTTGTTCTAACTCTAAGGTTAAAATGGCATCACTGGAGAAACCAGAAAGAGTCAGTTTCTTTTGAATGGCTACTTCCCAAGAGGATTTGAAGCCAATATTAGATCGGTCAGTCCACTGGGGTTGTGATGTAATTTTAACCAGTAGGTAAAGATATTTATCCAGAGGCTGGATTCGAGTTTACTGACTCCTGCTTCCCAACAAAATACAGCATTTGGAACACAGTGCATAATCTGGAAGATGTTTCTTGGAAATTTTGTTTGTATTCTTTGTAAGGTAACCATGTTGTTAATATAGTCCCAGTTGAGCCCCGTATACCAATTGTACTCAGGCTTTAGCTGCAAACAACTTAATTGCAGCAGGGATAAACTGTGCTTCTCTGATAAAATAATAATTCTGGATAGCTGATGTAGATTTCTGTGCATTACGAGATACATAGTCCAGTTGGGCATTTCTGCTTCCTGAAGGTTGAAAAACTATCCCTAGATATCTAAATATCTTAACCTGCTCATTGGGCTGCCCACCTAAGTTCCAACTTCTCTGTTTTGGGCATTTGGAAAAAGTAAGTATCTGAGTGTTGGTGTAATTTGTTATTAGTTCCTAATAATATCAGTATTATGTAGTAATAGTAATGCGTAACTGACTTCAGAGCTCTTTTGAAGCTGATAGAAGTTAATGACAGAATTACTGCATCATCTGCATACGGTAATCCATTGACATGTCTTTGGGCTAGTTTAAGAGGATGAAAAGTAGAGCTACTTAGATGAGGGATCAAGGAGTTTATATAGTAATTGAATAAAACTGGGGCCAATACACACCCCTGTCTGACTCTCCTCCTTATGGGTATTTCCTCTGTGACATGTCCTTGATTGCTACACCTGACCTCCAGTCTTGTGTTCTTGTGTATTTTGATGAGCTGCAGGAGTAGACATTTGTCAGTTGTGGTATTTTTTAATTTATGCCACAGTTTGGTTCTAGGTACTGTGTTGAAAGTTGACCTAAAGTCAATAAATGCTGCTTACGGGGATTGTCCTGATTTGTGGGGGTACTTTTCTACTACATGTTGCAGCACCAAAGCATGGTCTAACGTTGATCGACCTGCTCTAAATCCAGCCTGGTCATTCATCAGAATGTCTTCAGATTCATGCCAATCAATTAGTTTCTCCTGTAGATGTTTAGCATACATTTTGCTTATCTGACTTAACAAACTGATTGGGCAATAGTCTGCTGGATCATCTCTCTTGCCCTCCTTATATATTGGTATTATAATAGCCAAGCCCCAGTCTTCTGGTATCATGGCTGAATGAACTATTGTGTGAAAAGTGAAGCTAGCACTGGGGTCCACCATTCCAAATTATTTTTTATTACTTCATGTGCTAAGAATTTTTCCGCTTGACCATACAAGGTAACAAAATGGCATTCCCTGGTATATGCGGTGAAGAACTATAAATATTGTTAGAAAAAGATGGGGCTATCAACCTCCAGAAGATGGCAGGATTTTTCACACTGGCAGTTGCTATCTAGTGTTGCCAGGATACCCTCATAGCATTCCTTTTTTTTTTTTTTTTTGACAAATTAACTGTTTATACTCTTTTTTTTTTATAATGAAGCTCAAGCTCAGATACTTTGGTCACCTAATGCAAAGAGAGGACTCTTTGG